GATGTCTAGGAAGTAGTTAGGGCCTAGAGTAGATGCTCTGCAAAAGTAATTTGATAGATGCTCACCGAGTGTGATGTACGTGTGCGCGAAAGGAGATGAGAATCACTAAAACTCAACTCCTTATAGATCTAGACCACATATGGAAGTTTCTCTTTTTTCTTCTTCCTTCTCCCCCAAATCCCCACTTTTTTCCTCACACCAAGTTTGTGGCCAACGACAACTTTTGGTCAATAAATGATGTCTAGGAAGTAGTTAGGGCCCAGAGTAGATGCTCTGGAAAAGTAATTTGATAGATGCTCACCGAGTGTGACGTATGTGTGCAAGAAAGCAGATGAGGATCCCTAAAGCTCAACTCCTTATAGATCTAGACCCCATATGGAAGTCTTTTTTCTTCCTTCTCCCCCAAATCCCCACTTTTTTTCCTCACATCAAGTTCGCGGCCAGCGACAACTTCTGGTCAATAAATGATGTCTAGGAAGTAGCTAGGGCCTAGAGTAGATGCTCTGCAAAAGTAATTTGATAGATGCTCGCCGAGTGTGATGTACGTGTGCGCGAAAGGAGATGAGAATCACTAAAACTCAACTCCTTATAGATCTAGACCCCATATGGAAGTTTCTCTTTTTTCTTCTTCCTTCTCCCCCAAATCCCCACTTTTTTCCTCACACCAAGTTTGTGGCCAACGACAACTTTTGGTCAATAAATGATGTCTAGGAAGTAGTTAGGGCCCAGAGTAGATGCTCTGCAAAAGTAATTTGATCGATGCTCATCGAGTGTGACGTATGTGTGCAAGAAAGGAGATGAGGAAGTTGGCGTAACCTGTCCTCCATGGGCCATGGTTTGGGCACTTCTTCGACTGAATATATTCTCCTCTTCGTTGTCCTAGTAGCATGATTGTATGGCCTAGAACACAATGATTTGTCGAAATCGGCGACATCAACCGACAACCGTGTTTTCACCGGAGCCACCATCACAGGGACCAATAGAAGAGAACGAAGAAAATATTGGCGCATTTTTGCAGGCGGCGTGTAGGGAGTCAATGGGATGTTGGCGGGGTCACTGTTGTTGGGGCGATATCGGACTGAGTCACCGGCAAGGTGTTGTGCGTTGTTGGGCATCGGGGAGGAGAGAGAGAGGGTTTAGGGAAACTTGCCCACAGGTACTCAAATTTGAGCAGGTTCGAATGGTTTAAAGAGTTTCTTCGCAAATTGTTGAGGTCTAAAGGGGTTAACTCTTCAAAAGAGGATCTTATGAGAAATTTTTAGAAATTTAGGGGAAGGGCTCGGAAACATCGTTCCAAGGGAGTCAAACAGAACAGAAGTGGAGAGCTTTACCTTGGCATTGAAGGTCATCCCGAGCACTCCATAGGTCTTCGGCTTGCACATGTCGATCTAGCGGAAGAGGTGCTTGGCGCTCGGGGTCTTGTCTTGACATTCCACAGGAAGTCCCTTCGGATTTGTTTTTCCCACACACTTGACCAGCCAAGCAGGAGAGGCAAGCATAATTAGTTATAACTACCATGGCGGAGAGGGAGGAGCAGATAAGCTCAACACAACCAGGAGTGCGATGTGATCTACAATCTTATTCCACAACCTTACATGGTTGTTATTGACATCCATATATATAGCATTCCAAGGTTCTGCTTCTTTTCTTCCCCGTATGCTCGAATTATGGGTATGCACATTCTTCCTCAAACATGAACCGAGGAAAGCTAGGTAATGCATTAACGATCAACTATGCTCACATGGAAGCTTTATGCATTTGCATTCCGCAGGCACCATCAGTTGGCTTGACCTCTTGGGTCCGGGACTCATATTTCAAGCAATTGGATTTGCATGGCTTTTCTTCCTGCTTCTGCAAGAATGGCGTGATAAACGAAGAGCCTCTATGATGTAAGTTTGAAGAGGCACCACATTTGATGTTAAGTTGAGATAGGAAAATAATAGATGAAACAATCTACTTTGTGAATAGGAGCATATGAAAATTAATTTCCTTACCACTTACATGATGCAGGCGTTGTAGCTCTCTTCCATCTGAAGATCAGTAGTTGATCAACTTGGTCAGACTATTGGACATCAGCCTATTCCCAACAGGAGGAAACACTAAAATTGGGCTCTACAACAACGCTCACACAATTTCCTGAATCGTGATTTGATATTTTTTAGCGAAGATGGTTTGATATTGTCCTCCAATTTGACTGTTTGCATTGGTTACCAATAATTTCCAAGGTCCACTTCGTTTGTTCTGTTGTTTTCATCCTATTCTTCGATCCACTCCTTCGATTCTCCAAATATGTATGTACTTCCTCCGTTCCGAATTACTTGTCACATGTATGGATGTATCTAGATGTATTTTAGTTCTACATACATCTATTTCTACGACGAGTAATTTGGGACGGAGGGAGTATTTCCAACTTGCTAGAAACAGAGTTCCAGCTTGCGGCAGATATTAACTGAACACTCCTCACTTTCATCATTAAACTCTTAAACCTTGGTTGGATCACTGCTTTGTGTCATGGGCTCATTTCTCACAAATATGTTGGATATGCAAATCGCAGGAGATAGCACTATGCAAAGTTCAGAGAAAAAGCGGAGGGGGGCGCAAAATAAAGTTCTGAAGAAAAGAAGCAGTAAAGTTGCCATTGACAATTTGACTGGAAATAGTAGGATTTTGGGGTTTTGAGGATAGTCTCTCCACTAGGTGGGATCGCGCCTCAGCTTGGCGCATATATTATGGCACCAATGAAAGTGCTTCACTGAGCAGGCATATTAAACATAAAAGAAGTGAGATCGAAGAAATTAGGCCTCAAGCTCCTTCATTCAATAAATGTTCGATTTGCTAAGTGATATTTTCCACGGGCTACAGCAGAAATTTGCATAAGTCGTTAAGCAAGAAACATGTCTGAGCAAAGTGGAAATCTAATTCTGCAATGGAAAATAAATTTGAACATAAATCTCACTATGACTCATCAAATCTCAACCTCGATCTGGGCTTACATGTTGATCGTATTTATATTTTCCCTGCATATCTCTGCACACAATACACATGAGCCAAAATAAGAAAGGTGAGCAACTTCAAGTGATAGAAAAGGAAAACAAATGGTATAAAGATTCGGAAGAGGGCACTACCTCCTAGGGGAAGCTATAAAAATGGTTTAACTTACTTTTCCAACTGAGCTCTCATACAGATTTGTTCAGATAAATTAAAATGATTTGCTCATAATATCATGTTTTTACAGCCCTCTTCACACGTTGTTGCTCGCTTCCATCTTCTTCTTCTCCGTCGAAGTGCAGTTGTGTGGGTGCATAGATAAGAGAATATTAGGACAAGTGTTGCTCCGGCAAAGGATTGGGGTACGTATTTGTAGTAGAACGGTTATAGTAGGAGCGCTCTCGAAATTTGAACATGTTCAATGCACACACGTAAGAGCAGCTCCACGCTGTCGCCGGCGAAGAACATGAGCATACCGAGGGGCGGAGCCCATTGGGCCGACCCGTATGCACAGGAATACGGTTCTAAAAATTTGCTAGTAGTACCTATGAAATAAAAAGGCCCGATGCATCAGGGTGGCCCAAGAGCAGTGCATCAGGGTCGGCCCTTTCAGGCGACGCTTCCGCACTGGCCCAAGACAGCACCCACACACAGTTGGCTTACAATCCAGCACGTAGCTACACTTCGCAAGAAAAAACATACGTCACGTAGCCTAATGGATCCAGCTTCCACTAAAAAATCTAATCGATCCATCGATCGATCAGGTTTGTGTAGACGCGTACGGAGCCAGCCCCATACCATACGCCTCGCGTCGGCAGTCGCGTACGGAGAGGCGGTAGCGGCAGGGTGCCGCCGGACGCAGCAGGCCACGCAGCGATGACGGTGACTACGCACGGCCCGCGAGCGACGCTGCACGCCGTCGGCTGGTCCGGAGCTTGGTAATTTGGCGACCTTTCCAATCTTGAATCTTCGTTTTCGTACGCGCGCCCATAGATTACAGAAGGCTACGATTGTGGTAGCGCCTTTGTCTTGCTTTTCTAATTTTGTTTACAAACTGCAACAAATAGTCAATTATGTATAAATTTATAGCAAATAGAATAAATCACTATGTCTTGGCAAAAGCGTGGGGCAATTTCTAGGTTATAACTTCTAACTAGGGTTTCATTTGTCTGTATACAAGTCTGAATGTCTCATTTGTATTTGTCAAATACAAATACTATGGTCATGTTTTTTTCTCAAATGAAAAGCACCATCATAGGATGTCCCGGAAGACATAATTGGGAAGGGGACACTCAATATGATCCGAGCCAGAGAAAATTGATAGAACATTATCATCCTAATTTGAAAGATCTGGTAAGAAGAACATATTTGTTGAATGGACTTTGTCAGCCAAGATATTTTGTTTTTCAATCCTTGGATTTTGGGGGTAAATAGAGAAAGTTCAATGCTAAATGGTTTGATGAATTTGGGAGCTGGCTTGAATACAACGAAGAGAAGAATATGGCATGTTGTTTTGGAATAGAACGTACTAAAGATAATTTTTAAGCTTTTAGCCATTTAAATACTTTTTCCTTCAGAATTTTTATTATGTTCTACTGAAAAGTTTAATCATAATTTTATCTTGTAGGTTATTGAACCTTGTTGTCAGATGATGTATTTTGGAATTTGGAGATGCAAGACATCTATTTCAAGTAATTTTCTCCCTTATTTTATCATTACAACAAGCATTTTTATGGCTACGTTATGTTTTTTACACGCTGCCTTTGATGACGTCTGATAATGTGTGCTGAAATCTATGAAACGCACATTTATTCAATGCATCGTTGCTTGAAATTTTACTCCTTGTTAAAGTGGTGCATCGGGTAACATTTGCTCCAACTCCGCCCCTGATACCAAGCAGTCCCACCTGGAAGCTGGCGAGCACGTACAACACGGAGCCGCCAAGGACCAGCCCCATCGCTAGCTTGAGCTCGCCCGGCGCCACCACGCACACATTGCTGTGATTGTGCTGCCCTGCCACGGTGCCGCCTGCTTGCGGTGCAGTCAACATTCTGCCCTAATAAGGATTCATGGTTCCCCCACCCGGTTCAAAAAAACTAGGCCTAGAGTCCTAGTCACTGCCCAGAGCTCATACTTCATATGAGTAATGCTACATCTACGAAATATTACTTTTTTTTACAAATAAGCTGATGTGGAGAATTTTGATTGGTAATAGGGGGATGAAGGGGCCCACCCCAGTTGAATTCAGGGGGGAGAGACGTTTGTAAATTTTTGTAGGTCTAGCATTATTGTACTTCATACATGTATTCGACATATACAACTGGTGTGCGAGATGAACTCCACACCACCACCTTAAGGAAAGCCCACCATGAACTATGGTACTACCACACTACCGGTTGTGCTTCAATGGCGGTGTCACCATGAAGGAAAAACGGTTCATACTCTGGTGTTGTCTGGGATACAACATATGTAGATACCAAATGGCCAAATCTTAGGCAACATCAATAATGCCAGGGGAGAGTTACTGGAATAGGAGACGACGAACCAAATCTTTTTGTGACAAGGCAAAAAATTTGCCATTTTTATTGATCAAGAAGAGGGGTTTGTAGACACACCTTCAAAGCGTCACAACGATAAAAAATTACTCTCATGACATTACATTACTCAAAAGCTTGACACCCGCAAAAGCCCAAAGCAAAGCTTCCTTCTTAATAATGCTAACTATCACTGCCACCAGCACCGCTTTGTTTCTAAAGATGCGTGTGTTCCTTTCTTTCCAAATCTCCAATCCAACAAGGTGGATCAAGGATGAGAGAGCCTTTCTTTAATGTGAATTGTTGATGACTCCTTCCCACTAAGCCTTGCCCGTGTGGAAGTTCTGCCGGTTCATCGCGTCAACTTGAAGATCCATCCAGGAGAACAACTCCTTCCAAATTTGAGTTTGCGAACTGACGCTTGAATAGGAGGCGGGCCTCTGGTTCCTGCAATTGGGCG